ACCTGAGTTCCTTGGCTAGTGTACACATGCTGGCCACAGGAGAAAGCTGTGTAGCCAACAGAATAGGGCATCCCTGCTGTTCACGGGATCATAGAGTAGAAGGCTTTGAAAGTGTCTCAGGTCATCTAGTTTAGGGCCCTGCTCAACGCAGGACCATCCCTGACTAAACCATCCCAGCCAAGTGTCGGCATAACCGGCTCTCAAAAGTCTCCAAGAATGGATGCTCCACCTCTCTAGCAGTCTATTCCAATGCTTAACCACCCTGATAACGAGAAAGTTCATCTTAATCTCCAATTTAAATTTCCCTTGCTGCAATTTAAAACCATTGCTCCCAGTCCTAGCCTATCATCTGTGGCTGCAGAGGACATCTCCACCACTGTATATGAGTCCTTCAGCTTCACATACTGCAGTTGGAAGTACAGAAGCAAAATGATGAGCTAGGCAGAGTGGACTGATGTGGCTGAGGAACACGCTTGGCTGAGTAGTATCTACTGGAGAAATGACGACTTACCTACAGAAAACATGCAAATATTAAGGATAGAACAGAATTATCCAAGCTCAAGTTCAGCAAACCACTGAGCAGGTAACTTGAATTGAGGCCTCAGCATGGTACAAGGGGGTACAGCTAAGGACAACAAGAGGATGGCAGTCAAGTGACAGCCGTGAGCACATTCCCAGGGAAGCGGTCGATGCACCGGATATTTAAAACTAGACGGGGCACAGAAGGGAAACATTCTGCCATGCATAGACCCTCTCTCCCGTATATTTCTATATATTTAAAAAGGCAACAAACAGCACCTAACCAAGATGATGTCTGACAACAAGGAATCCCCAGAAGACACTGAACTGCCAGCTGCTCTTCTCTCTGGACCACACTTACTCAGCGTGGCAGCCCCTTCATTCAAACTAAAAAAAAAAAAAAACGTATGTCCTCCTTGCGTGTACTGTAAGAGGAAAAGTAAATAATGTGGCAGTGCTAACAGTACCACTTATGTGCACGTTGAGAGGCTGACACAGACTACTTAACCTGGAAAAACAAGGGAATGTGAGGACGAGAGAGAGAAAGACACACTTTCTACTCTTCAGACTGCAATAAGATCTTCAACGCCTTTTACAACCCCTGGAATGCTGCAATCCACTGGCTGAAGCAACGCTGCTCTCCACCATCTGCACACCTAAAACAGGGCTTGATCCTCCCTCATTGACTTCAGCAGGGGGAGAAGCAGTCCCTCAATGAGCTCAATAGCACCTCCAGCTCTGGTTAATGTTTCTGTAATTCTCCTGCACTAGCATCTGCAAGACCCAGGGATGTGCCCCAAAAGCCACCCAGCAGGCATCCTACAGACGCCCAAGGGGCCAAGAAGCCTGCAAAAGCTGAGAGGAGAAAATCCATAGGCAGGAAAATCTTACGTCTCCTTTTCATAAGCTGTAAAATGCTGGGCTGTGTTTATACAAGGCAGTAGGCGCCTGGAGGGGTTCAGCCCCTCCTCTGCCCTTGCTGCCAGCTGTTTCAGCCATCCTACGATAAATAATTGACAAGCTGTAACAAGAACATCAGTGACACACAGGTTCTGTGCCCAGGTTTCTAGCACTTCTGACCAGCAGCCTGTACTCTGACCTCATTATACCACCTTTTCTCCAGAAGCCAAAGCAGAGTCAGATGCTGTGGCAGTACATCCTGCCTGCGCTGGACTTCCTTGGCCCAGTGCAGACCATCTGTCCATGGTTGGGGGCTCCAGCAGTAGGACTGTTTGGACAGATGCGTGACAGAAGGAGATGCAGCTGGGGGCTGAAATTCTTCACCCGCTGTAGCCCCACCCAGCTCCCGACACTGCCACGCTAAGCAGGGAGATGTTATCTGCTTTGGAGGGCTCTGCTGTGAGCCGCCTTTTTAGGCTGGCCAAAGAAAATCAACAGAACACACACAGCAGTTTACAGAGAGGTGAAAGGCAAAAAACTTCCACTCCTATGCTACTTCCAGCCAAGATCCACCGTGACAACTGAAAAACAAGCAGAGGTGTGCTGCTCTGACAGTATATCTAGTGCTTACCTCTGGATTCAGCAATTCATTCACTCTGCTTTTCCAGCAACCTGTTCCTGATAGCCGGCCTGTGGGGCCAAGTTCAAGAATTCAGAGGTCGAACCAGGTGTCTATGGATTGGGAGTCATAATGAGGCTTGCCTTACCTCAAGGACAGACAACCAACGTGCAGCTGAAAGTCTCTGCAGCTTGGGCAAAAGAAGCCATTCACCAAGTGGCAAAGGTAACTCCACCTTCAGCAGCCCCAACATGTGACATACAGGTGATGAATAAAAAGCCAGTATTGCCAACCCCAAGCGGTTGAAAAGGCATGAGCCAGGCCCCATGGAAACATGAGGCTGGGTTTAATCATGAGAGGTTGCTATTTTATTTCTTCTTTTTTTTTGGCAGGGGGGTTAATGAATTTTGGGGGTTCTCTCTGGTTTCTGCACCTTTCAGCTTTACTTGGGTCATGTTTTCAAGCATTTCCCCCCAGTTTAGAGGTTAAGAAACATTTGATTTTAAATAAAAGCAGAAAGTTTTGCAAAAATTAAATTAAAAAAATCGTATGACTCCAAAAGCTGGAGCTTTAGGGAAAAGCATCAAATATCAATGAGATGGAACAACTGGCAAACACGCACAGATTTCAGTTCTGCTCCTACCAGCTGCTCCTCTTGGGTATCAGCGTGACTCGGCACAGGCACAAAGATCTGCCCCATTTAGTTTTATCCCCGGTTTTGCAGATAAGAACACTGGCTTGCCGAACATCACGAAGGTGTAAGTGAAAACATTGTGATATTTGGCGTTTCTTGAAGTCTTTGCTTCAGCACTCACATGATGATGTGACAATTTCAGCTTTCCTTCAACAAACAAAAGGAAGCTTCTAGCCCTTCTGGCTGCAGAGAAAAAGCTTGAAAATACAAAAACCTACAGGCTCAGAAACAGCTGCCAATGAAAAGACCCAAAATGAACTTATTTCTTCCTAAATATCATGATTAGCAAGCCAATTTCAGTCCCCCAGAACTTGTAACTCGGCATTTTTAACTGTTTGGGAAGCACGCATCCGATTCAGGAGTTTCCAGTGGCCGGACTAGTTTTCAAATCACATATCGCTGCACAGACACCATCTCCTGCCCAGCATCTTCCATACACGCATTACCTCACAAACGCATTTTTAATGATTTATACAGAAGAATTTCCAGAACTTGCCCCAACTCCATGGAAATGGAGATGGTTGACAGAGCTGGCTGAGAAAGCGCACACACTGCAGTTTAAAATCCATAAGAGAACTGGATCCACCAGTCCACGTTAGTTCTCACACCCAAAAAACACTCAGCAACTTCACACTGTCAAAAACAAGAAGAGAAGTTGCAAGCCCATGCTCTAATCCCCTGCACTGAAAAACATACTGTCCCGCTCCATTTACCTTGAACACCACTTCAAAGAGCACAAGGCTACACAGCACCCTTGAGTCAGCATGAACCAACCTCCAGGGACATAACAGTGTCCCACCCCAAAAAACTCACGCGGACTTAGCGCACCACGAGACTCCAGTCTAACGAGATGCTCAGTAGTTTCACCTGTACTCCACCCACAGGAAGGCCTCAGGCTTTGGCAGAGTTTCCATCAGGTGCACTTGCCTGCTTGGCTCATACCACATTCTTCCCTCAAATTGCTCATTTTTCAGTCCAAGTGTTTTAAGTCAGGGTGTTTAGACCAGAGACACTGCATCCTGCACAGGGGACAACACCATGTCACCGCCTCAACCTCATCTGCTTCACAATGAGAAGGCAATGGGGTAAGGTACACAGCAGTGGTTCTCAATCTTCTTAGACTCAAGGCATCCAGAGACAGGCTCAAGGCACCCTTCAGAAAATGCAGGTTCTTAGTTTTCACTCATTTTTTGACTACAGAAAAATAATAAAAACATTCTTCTGTTGTAAAGAAGTAGGGTTGGCAAGCCGGTCAATTAACTGCTAAAATATTGTCAAATGCAGTTAACTGACTGCATATTTTTGGACCAGTCAATTTTACAAAAAAACCCTACTTTTTTGTAGTTTTCTTGACAGAAATGATTTGTTATTGCTTTTTGATGCATTTCTTAATGGAAAATTTGTGCTTTTTCTATATATTATTGGCAATTTTTCACAATTTTTTACCAGTATTTGACTGGTCTATTGACCGAACTTTATTTGAGCAGTCAAATACCCAACCTTACAGAGAAAAACCTCCATTGAGAATCACTGGAATAGAGACTAAGATGCATCTAAGGTACACCGTCTGGGCCACCCTTTGCCCAACATCCACGTAGGCTAAGTACAGACATGCAAAAAGGTAGAATCGATCTAAGTCGCGTGGTTTTCTCTAACTGGGGTAGTTTATATCGGTAGCAAAAAGAACAAACATTTGCCCTTTGGGGGAGGAGGGCAAATCCTAGACTGGGTTCCACCTTTTTTTAAAATCAGTCTCTGTGCGCCAAACTTGTGTTCTTTTATGGGTATAAACCAGTTTCCGATCACTTATACTGGTAAAAATGTAATGTCTGTACCTGGCCTTAATGCGAAAGTCAAAAACTCAAGCTCACCCACATATATTCTCCAAAGCTTCACACTACAAGATTGAGCCTTCCCTAACCTGCCTCCCCCAATTCCATGTTCTAAACCCACCCCACAAGCGCAGGAAGCCGACCACCAGCCATCCCGTCACTCCTGCTCCTGACCTTTGGTGCTTTTGCACCTCACCTCCTATCTCTAGGGCTTGCAGTCAGTCTCTACTGCTTGTAATCAGAGCCAGGCACAGTAAGAAAAACAGACAGAGGACATATTAATTACTAGAAGGGCTCTACTCAAGGACCAAGTAACAGGAAAGGAGGACCCTTTCTAGGAATCAGCCTGCCCACCACTTGTCTCTCTATGTGCTTGGCATGTGGTCACTGCAAGGTAATACAGACAGGGAGGGACGGATCAGATAGCACAGGCTACCTGAGGGTTGAGCATCATTGGTGGTGTAGATGCACCATAGGTGGTCTGGTCTGCGAAAAACTGCTATGCAGAGATAGGAGCTGAATGGAAGCCTCTTGATCCCTGTCTAGTATCTTAATCCACCATCTCTTCCTCTTGAACGGCAGAGTCCCCCGTCTTCAGTCATGCACAATTAGGTTCAAATTTAGTAGTTAGCTGAACATTTCCTGGAAAGCACCTATATCTCTTCAAAGACAGACAAGTGGTCTACCATTTCTTATTTGCAGTTTGGTAGCACTTGGGCCGCAGCCATGGACCCCGCGGGGTTGCACGACGCTAGGTGCTGTACAAACCTCAACTACTCCCTGGATTCCTATTACATGGGAACATGATTTTAAACTAAATGAGGTAAACTATCCAAATGGTTTGATTTCTTGGGGATAAACAATATTGGCTATGTGATCTTTCCAACTACAGGCCATTGACATTAAGGCAACACCGGTTTGAACTTTCTACCGAATGCTACTATGTATATAAGAAAGATGAAAACGTATATACCGAGACCTGTTTTTATGGTCTCGGTACAGATAATATTTTGTACATACGTGTAAGTGGCTAACCCCTAGGCTACATTTGTGGGGCTGATTCAGTGGCACAAGGGTGCAGCCTTGCCACACACTTATTGGTATTTGCTGTCATTTGCAAGCCACCTTGGACAGGGCAGCCCTAAAAGGGAAAACCTGCTCTCCAGGAATTTCACCTTCTTAAATAAGGACATTAACAGACTGCTATGTTTTTAGCTATTTACTCTCGTTTCAGCAGACTGCTTTGTATGCACAGCTTGGTCTCACTCCACCACTCATGAGTAATGTGGCTGGCACAAGCTCTTAATTCACTGTCCCCTTCCATGCAACACACAGACATACATGGAAGTATCCACAGACTGACGCGGATGGAGCTTTTCTGCCCCTGGAGGAAAGCTGCTCTCCCCTGTGGAGATGAGACGCGTGCTTCTCCTCCCTTTGCCCATCCTCTCCTGACAGACCATGACTACTGGGGACAGACTAACCCGCTCTGCATTAATACAGCGCAGCAAACACTACCCTAAGATAACATCAGGCAACGCCAACCCCTGCCTGGCTGCTTCGGGGGCAGATGAGACAAATATTCCCCCTGGAGGTTTAATCCACACAAGAAGCCACAGCTCTGGTCCAAGCTCGGTCTTCCCCAGGCTTTTGTGGCGCGGGTGTTTCGGGGGCCCGGAACAAGCTCTGAAATGCAAGGGCGCCAGCAATGGGCCTCGCCACCGCCCCCCCCCGAGCCTCCGCCCCTCCCGGCGCCGCGGGGAGCTCGGGGAAGGCAGGAGGCGGCTCTCGGTGCAGGCTGCGGATGGCAGCGCCCAGCTCGCG